TCCTAGTAAAATACATAGGAAATCAATCGCATTGGCGATAACTCAACGTAAGTTTAGGGTTAGGTCTCCATGCATTCAGAGAGCAAAATGGTCCTTGCCAATGAATTCATAGTCCATCATTATGGTTAGCAGTCTTCCTTATCTACGTTTCCTAGTAAAATACATGGAAAAATCCTATTTGGGTGTAATCCACCTACAGATAGGTTGAGTTGTTGATGAATTTGCAGGAAAAAAAGGTCATTGCCAATGGATTTGGAGCTCATGGGTATGGACTGTAGGGTGGATACTTTTTGAGTTTGCCTTATCTATGTTTCCAGGGAAAATACCGTGTTTCTCATATAATAAGGCCGGGTCTTATTTTTTTTTTGAGCCCCGAAAAAATGGCTAGACCGTCTTTTCGGGGGTGACTTAATTCCCCCCCTTGAATCCTCGGGCAGGCGGGTGGCGACGGCTTGGATGTTGACCTCGGCGTTGGTGGGGCACTTCATATTGGGAGACCTTCTGCCACCGTTGCTTTCCCTTCTCCCCGTGTTGCCGCAGCGTTTGGAGCAACGCCATGGCGTTTGGCGCAGCCACACAGCATTTGGCACAGCCATGTGTGGCCAGCCAGGGCTCCTCCCTGCAACCAGAGCCCGGCGGACACACTCGGCTTCAGGCGCTCCTGTCGCCACCTTTCCGGGCATCATTCGAAGGCAAAGCCCATTCTTTTAAAAACGACGCCCTACTACTGGTACCACAAAGCCTCCCCTGCCCGAGAGGGCAGCCCAACCCTACGTGGGGAGGCGAATTTCCCGGGGCCGCAGCGCAGGATCGGCCCACCCCGGGAGAAGCGCCCAACCACCAGGCCTGTCTGGCGCTGGGCAGAGCACAAAGAGGTTTGCTTGGGGCACCCAGCACAACTGACAGGCGGGCCTTCCTGCCTGGCGGCAGAACTCTGGCCAAGGCAGCAAGCGCCTCCCCGCCGGGCCCTCTGCTCATCTTGCCAGGGCCGCGCCAGAGCTGGGAAAGCGAGCTGCAGGTGCGCGCCCGCCTGCCAAGTGAAAGAGCCGGGCTGACCCGAGCTTGGCTTTGCAAGTCCCTCCAACCCAACCCCAAAGGGGCCACCGGGAGAGGCCGCCCGAGGCAGTGATTGCGCCCCCATCCGCGGACAGGGAGGCAAGGCGACGGCAGCAGTGCTTCCCTGGCCGGTGGGTCTGGCGGAGAGAGCCCAAAGCCGCCCGTCCTTTCCACCCCTTGCCCAGCCCGTTCCCATCCCCACGCATCTCCAAACACGCCGGCAGCTCCAAACGCTGCAGCGGCACGGGCATCGGCGCTCACTCGGCGGGGCTCAGCTCGGAGGACGCAGCGTGGGCCGTCGCCTTGCCTCCCTGTCAACAGATGGGTGGACGCTATCACTGCAAAATAGCCATTGCCAATTGATTCATAGTCCATCATTTTGGTTAGCAGTCTTCCTTATCTACGTTTCCTAGTAAAATACATGGAAAAATCCTATTTGGGTAAAATCCACCTAGGGTTAGGTTGAATTGTTGATGAATTTGCAGAAAAAAAGGGAAATTACCAATGGATCTGGAGCTCATGGGTATGAATAGGAGTGTACTTACTTTTCGAGCTTGCCTTATTTACATTTGCTTGGAAAATAAATAGGAAAATCCCATTCATGGAAAATCCACTTAGGGATTTTGCTTCATTTTGCTCTGAGAATTCATGGAGACCTAACCTAATTCACCCTATCAACACACTGACTAATTCTTCTAAGTGGGGTAAAGCTTGTGAATAGTTTTCAAAGCAGTTATGCACAGGTCTTACAGTTGTTCGAAGAAGATGTAAATAAAACCCTTTCAGTTGATGTCATATTTCCAGAGTTATTTTTATGCTACCATATGCTCAGCTCTATTTTTTAATTTTAACTTAAAAACAATGAAGTATCTCAATTACTTTTTGATAATTATTTGGCAGTTTCCCCAAATTTATCAATTCTCATCTTTTTCTTCTAAGTAAAATATACAATTGCCAGTAACTGATCAGTTTTAATCATTCAAGCTCTACATTCTTCTTCTTTAAGACTTCAGGTAATTCTAGATTTATGACCATTTATTCAGAGTAAATGAATGGTGGTTATAACCAGGCCTCAGAGTTTTGGTTGTTACAGCACCCTCATAGTCACATGATCACAATCTGGGCACTTGGCAACTGTCTCATACTAAAACTGTCTCATACTAAAATCAGTTGCAATTTCCAACAATTACATGATTACCATTTAAAATCTCCCCTGCAGGCTTTACAGAAAATCAACGAGGAAGCAGTAAGGAAAGTCACAAGTCTCTAGGTCAAGTCTCTCCCACTTATTCACCCTTTCTTTAGCTCTTTGGTACACTCACTATGCTGGCCACTGGCACACCCTAGCACCTACTTCAAGACTTGCCATATTTTCCTTGTTCCCTTCCTGAGCTCCTCTCACACACTGCACTCCTTCACATCTTTCCCAACCCTTACTGCACTTCTGTTGCACCTTTATGCACACCTCTGCACTCCTATGCACCCTCCCAAAGCCTTGCCACACATCTTTTACACCTTTTCCCTAATTCCAGCAATATCTCACACCCTTGCACAACCCATTCTGCTGTCTGCCACCTGGCAGCAGCCACTTACTTGCCTGTGGCCTGCTTGTTAGCTGCCTGGGACTTGCAAATTCTTCCTGGATTCCCACTGACTTAGTTGTGAAAGGTGGCAGGAGGTTGCTTTGCCTGGTGACCATAGGATATGGTTAACAATGGCAACTAAGACTACAGGGATTGCCATTGATATACAATGTGTACAATTCTTTTCTCAGCGTGACATACTTTGGGGGGGAGGAGGAAACTTTGGAATGTCAGACCAGACATCAACAAATTACTATCTCGTAATAACCAAGGTCATCCTAACAAGTGCTGGCCAGAGACTGGAAGAGGTTACCAGGGAGAAGCCAGAACACCTAATTGGATAATGTGACAAGGATGTGGGGAGCTGTCTAATCTTTAATTATACTAAAAGCACAGGAAATAACCAGAGCTGGTTTGTTTTTCAGCTGGGCTGAAATTATGTACTCAATAAAGCAGTTCTTTGAAAAGCTAAAAGTTTCAGAGTTGCTGATTGATTGGATTCATTATTTGGAACCTTGACACAATGCTGTTGTGCTTTGATGATGGCAAGTCCAGTCCCAATTGCCATCATAAATTGAGGTTTATCCATGCAGTATTTCTACTTTGGTGTCTCCATGCTTACTAATCTTCTCTTCTGGGATAGGCTGATGCAGCCTAATTGAGAAAAAGTAACATTTTAAAAAGCTTCCTATCAGTAACACTGATCAAGAGCGGGCAAGAGATCAGAAGCCTAGCTTGGCTAGTTGCAAATAATATGCAAATGAATAAGCTAAAACTGAACTTATATGCAATACTGCCTGTTTTTTTAAATAAAAAAATCTAAAGTGGCATTATACACTGAATTTTTAAATCAAATTCTGAAAACACAGAAAGCCTCAGTAATTGCAAACAAAAAGTCAACATCTGTTAACATCAGAACAATTATATAACAATTCAGACACCCTAAATGGTTAAGAAAAAGGGTAGCAAATACTTAATGCAGTATCTACCATATGGTAGATACTGCAAAATAACGTGTGATTTAGTGATTCCACAGAAACAGTTATTCTATAGCAGGGCTGCCAAACTTGCGGCCCATGGGCCAGATATGTCACATGCTGGTCACGCCCATGCCTGGTTTAGTGAAGGGGGAAAAAGTCACAATATGTCACATTGACACTGCCGTGTCAATGTGAGTTTGACACGTCTGTTCTACAATATGCCCTTGAAATGTTAAATTAATAAAGCAAAGGGAAGGCAACAAAGTTTGACTCCTGAACAAAACAACAAAATTTGGATATATTGTTCAGTTGTTCAGGTAACTGGTACATATTATATTAAGTATATGCAAATTTATACTTCATGTGAATAATACAAATTAAACAATTTTGAGACAAGAAGATAGCAATCTTTTATGAGAAAAGTAATAAGAGATAAATAAAGGCAGAAGTCTTTTATTAATGGAAGTACAATAGCACTAAAGTAACCTAAAGTGTTTCCCTTAAGATGAAATCAAAGGAAATCTCCCAGCCCATGAAAATCACATGTAGATTTTCATCAGAAAAGGCTAAGATGCTTTCTAAATATTGTGTTTCTGCTGCCATATATTAATCATCCAGGTTTTTGCAGCCCAGTCTATTTTGTAACTTTTGCAGAGAAGTCGATGGCAAGATCTCTCTGGATGGACCTCGCCTAACAAGCAGCATCATTTTAATTGGTTAAGCCACAAACAATTGATAACAGTGGTTATTTTCTCAAAATATACTCACTTGACAACCCCTGGTATCTTTTTTATTGCTCTATTGCCCATCTCTCTAGATCTGAGTTCATTAAGTGGGCATTCCTCTCAGGATACGGCATAATGAGAAACATCCAGGGCGCTGAAGATCTGTCGTCTTTCACTACCAATCCACCAGTACCAACTACAACACCGCCAATTTTTCCAAAAAGTGGCACGGAATAACACGTGCTCCACGAAGAACCTACTCCAGAGGTGTAAGCTCATCCTCTCTAATCCTCTGCATAGGGAAACCGTCCTTGGACAATTCTGAATTTGCTGCCATGACGACCCCCCCACCCCACCCCCGTCTGTCTTGGAATTTGAACGCCGGCAATGATCCAGTTTTAACCGTATTCGTTCCTTGGAAAGTCCGCGCTTACTCGCAGGCCGCCGCCTATAGAATCACCTCAAGATTTCACGTGCGCAGACCGGCCGTTCATTCTCGCGCTCTCCTCGGTGAAGCGTTGAAAGAGGCTGAAGCGAAGGGCCGAGTCTACCGCAGACACGGAGGAGAGGCACTCGCGCTCATGCGCGCTCTTTCCGCCGCGGTCACAGCCAGCGGTGGGTTCTCCTCCAGCGCATGCGTCCTTTCCTCCGGTCTTGCTTAGACTATTTGAACAGGAAGGCGGACATATTTGTGAGAGGGCTCCCTCCTTGATTAGCTACCGTACTGAGGCGATAGTGACTACCCTGCTGCTTTGTACTTTTTGCCTTCGCTCATCTCTGCAGTTGGAAGGAGCTTGCATTTTTTTCCCCCCCGTTCCCTTTTCCCCCCCCCCCCCCCCCTACCCCCACCCCGGCGCCACGACGGACCGAGGTGGGGCAGCAGCAGCGGAGCAGCGGAACTCTGGCAAGCTGCACCTACTCCTCCGGGACTTTTGAATCCCGGTCAGCATCGGGGAGACGAAGGGGGAGAGAAACGCAGCGACCGGAGAAGCCGCGACAGAGGAGAGAAAAGGGAGCGAGGAGAGGAAGAAAGCATCTCAACCGTTACGCGGTGGCCGAAGACAACTCGCGCATCTGGAGAGCGAAAGCGGAGGCGTCGGCTTGCTTTCCCTGACCCAGAAGTTGGGGGCTAGCGGGGCCTCTGAGGCGGCTCGCCCGCGCTAACCTCCGCCGTGGCTTGAGTACGAAATGAAGCCGTGCGCCTCCTCAGGCCCGAGTCTCGGTGGAGGGAGCAGCTGGATGACGCTCCGCTGAGAAAGTTTCCTGTTTTTCATGGTAGGCCTCGCGCTTTTCCTCCACCCCTTCTTCCCTTCTTTCAAAGCCGCTGCTGTGCAGCTAATACCCAAAGAGAAGCGGGAGGAACCGCTACGCTGATCGGGGGAGGAAGAAAAAAAAATGTGGTTCCTTCGACGCAGGGCCTCGGGCTGGAGACGAGAGCGCACCGGCGGGCCAGGGAGCACAGCCTAAGAGACTCCGCGGGGCAAACCGAGAAGGCGGCTCCCCCAGGACCGAGCAGCGCCCCACTTCCCGTTTTCGACGTTCGCTTTTGTCGCGCGACGATGTGTAACGGGGGGAGGACAAGGGACGACCCCAGCCAGTCTCCGGCTCTTCTCTGAGAGGGAGAGCTCAGGGAGACCAACCCCCCCCCCCTCCTCCTCCAGATTTGATTTCCTGTGGATTAAGGAAGACCGCCTCGAACTTCAGCATTATGTCGACAGGAGAAAGCTTTGAGTCCCGGTTTGAAAAAATCGGGATGATGATAAAAGACCCCAAATCTGAAGTGAATTCGGACTGCTTACTGGTGAGTGGCATTGACTTCCTTTTTGGTTTCTATTAAACGGGGGGGGGGGGGGGAAGACTTCCTTGAGGGTTTCCCCCACCCCACCCACCCACCCACCCTTTTAAATGAAAGATCTCGGTTGCCTTTTTATTTCTGGAAGTTTAAGCCTTGCATGTATGGATGATAGTGATTTGAAGAAGGGCACTAGAAATATTTTGACAAAGCCTTTTTGCATCAGCACTCAGTCTCAGGCAGTTTTATTTTCTCAGAATAATTCTTCTAGGCTTATGTTTGGGTCGAGGCCCACTATAGGGAGTCCTCCATTTATGACAATTAGGATTGGAAATTTCATCACTAAACGATGCAGTTATTAAGCAAGTTGCATCCAATTTTATGACCTTTTTTGCTACAGTTGTTAAATGAATCACCATGGCTGTTAAGTGAATTAATTCAGCTTCCCTCATTTAACATTGCTTGTCCAAAGCTCCCTGAGAAGTTGCAAATGGTGATCACGTGACTCCCAAGATGCTGCCAAGGTATATGGTGGTTGCCAAGTGTCCAAATTTTGGTCATGTGACCACAGGGAGGCTGCAATATTTGTAAACGTAAGTCACCTCAAATGATTGTAAGATGAGGAGTACCTGTAATGTGTTGTGGAACCCTTTTGAGAATCGGAAATTAGTTCAAATAAGTCAAATAAATTGAATTATCATAAAGAAGTTAAGATGATTGTATGATTTATGTGTTTTCCAATCAATAGAATCCATGTACTGTCTGATATTGAAAGGGTTACCCTAGAAGTTGATGGAGGCTTAACATGATATTAACACAAAAAAATTCACTGTTACAAAAATAAGATTTAGCTTTCTTATTTGGACTTATTTACATGACTGCATGTACTGATTTAGGGAGTGATACTGTTATGCTACTATTAGGGATGTTTTCAAACATACTAAACTGAACATTTGGTTAGTTAGTGGCTCAGAAGTGAACCTATGTAGCTTGTTTATGGCTCTGTGGTTATTGATTCAGGCACTTGGTTAAGTAAATAAACTGTACTTCAGTTAACCATGGAATAGCTTGTTGTATAAATATAGCTGGGGGGAGTATGGTAGAACATAGGTTCCTAACCAATTAAGATTAGTCCAGGTAGGCAATGGTTTTCTATCCTACTAAAGAGACTGATTAAATTGGTGTATGACACATTGAATTTTAGGTAGCTGAATTAGGTTTATACCCTTGTGCATAATTTCATTTTTCATATTAACCCACTTGAATAAGTCAATATGACTTCTTTGTCCTTATTTTTTCCCCATAATAAAAATGTTGTAACTTTAAAATAGAATAGAATAGAATACTTTATTGGCCAAGTGTGATTGGACACACAAGGAATTTGTCTTGGTGTAAATACTCTCAGTATACATAAAAGAAAAGATACATTCGTCAAGAGTCAAGCATCATAAGCAATCAAATCATACTAGGAAACAGTCAATATAAATCGTAAGTATACAAGCGACAAAGTTACAGTCATGCAGTCACAAGTGGGAGGGGATGGGTGATAAGGAGTTATGACAACATTAACGGTAATAGTAGTGCAGACTTTGTAATAGTTGAACAGGGTTGAGGGAATGTTAGATTAAGTCCTTAAAACTATTATGGCAGAGTGTACAACATCAGGGTATAACAGAACTCTTTCCAGTGTACAATACTGGAAAAAAAAAGAACTGAAAGTCACACAGCAGCGCAAATTAAAGAATCAACCATATTTTATCTTTATTTTGTGGTTAGTTTATAAACTTTATAATCATTGAGGACAAGTATATTTGAAAATAATTATTGAAGAAGCTTAATATAAGAGAGTAGGCCATTGTTTTAATTGCCTTTCTATCCAATCACTATATTCTACTTTAAAAAAAAATAATCTGCCTTTCGTTATTATCAGTTTTTGCCAAATGCAAAATGATTATATTTTCTTTCTTTTATAGACAGGAGATATCCATCAGTGCATTAATAGGCTACTGAATATTCAGCACACACACACACACACACACACAAACTACAGTTCTCTAGGTACTCCTGTTATGGACCTGATTTTTATTTATATATGTGTGTGTAGTGTATGTGTATTATCTATATAAATCAGGTGCATAACAGGAATACCTAGAGCATTTTGCTCCTTAAAGTCCCCTAAATTTCCTCAGATCTCCCTCCAGTTTTGAAAAATGCTATTAAGCTGTTGCACAAAGCCTGGAAATGTCCTTGAAATGTTAGAAGTTTCTCACTGTTGGGCATAATATTGATATGAGAGCACTGCTTGTATCAGTTGTTCATAGTAAATGCTTTGTGTGTTAGGCTGATGATTGGGGCAGATTCATTTGACTGTTACTGTGTACCATTTGAATTTACTTCATGGGAATGATATTTTTTTTAGCATAATCATTGATGGTTACACTAAGTCCATAATCAAGAGTAACTAACTACTAAATGTCTTATCAAGTAATAGAGATGTGTATGGCCTGTAGTGAAGTAGGAAAATGCCTGATATGAATTAGAGTTTTTGCCCAACTAGCTTAGTAGGTTTTTTCTGTTTATAATTGGGTTAGGTTCAAGATAGTTATTTTGTGTATCTAATCTAGAGAAAATGGTATTTTAATTTGGGAATAGTGCTGGGAGCACAAACATGCTTTTTGTTTATAACCTTAAACTAAATGTGTTCTTTTCCTTAATTTCATGGCTGCTTTGGAGGACAATAATGTGACACTTGGAAAGGACATAGGCCTGTGATGGTGAACCTATGGCATGCCATTTGTGCAGGCACACGAGCCCCAGCCAAACCTACCTGCACTGCACATGTGTGCATCTCCCAGCTGATTTTTGGCCTGTTTGAGGCCTTTTTCGCCCTCCTGGGGCTCAAGGGAAACCTCTGCAGCCTTTGGAGGCTGAAAAATGGGCGTTCTGGAAATACCGGAAGTGCCGAAACTAGAAGTGCTGAAATGGGCCCGTTTTTCGGCCTCCAAAGGCTGCAGAGGCTTCCCTCAAGCCCCCAGGAAGGCGAAAATGCCCTCAAATGGGCTGAAAATCAGCTGGGAGGCGTGCACATGTGCAGTCCAGGTAAGGTAGGTTGCGCGTGCATGGGCAGGGGGTGGGGTGCATTGCATTGTGGGTGCTGATATGCGCATACGCTTTCAGTACACCACAACAAAAAGGTTCACCATCACTGACGTAGGCGCTTTAAGTTGTTGCAAGTAGGTGTAGCATTATTCAAATAGCTTTCTTGGGATTGAATTAGCCTTGATGCAGAGAGTATACTCTGATATTAAGCTAAATTCTAAATTAGTGGAAAAGTTATAGCAGATCACTTCTCACCAGATGCTGCTCTGCCCTTGTTCTCCTGGCTCTTTTTCCCCTCCTCCTGACATTATTGGCTCTTTCATTTTGCATTTTGAAAACAAAAGCCTATGTACATGTATAGTCTATAATAGATATAGTTGGGTTAATGTTTTCATTTTACAGCTGTGTGAAAAAGTTCTGCACGCTTTACGGTTTACTGTTTATGACATTTTTCGGATAGGCCGTTGATTTTATGATATTTTATGCTAACTGCTATGCAAATATTGTTATATTGAAATAAATACTGGTGGTTTTTTAGTGAAAAGCATAAGCTTTTTGCAATTTGGTGCTGTTTGGATGGGGATTATGAATTTTCTTGCATGCTTACAATGACGATGGAAACAGATTAATTGATGCATACCCAGTGGCATACGTGTTGCAATTACTAAGGCCGATGCTGGTGTTTCATTAAGATTTTTATTATTTGTGGCCCTGAGAAGAACCGTTTATGTAACCAAACATGGTTACTAGTATGAAATTGGCCAGCCTTTATTGCTTATAACCAGGCAGTATCACTTTCGCATAGACCAGGGGTAGTCAACCTTTTTATACCTACCTCCCACTTTTGTATCTCTGTTAGTAGTAAAGTTTTCTCTAACCGCCCCTGGTTCCACAGTAATGGTGATTTATAAAGTAGGGGACAAAACCCCTACCTTCCACCATCAAAGCTGGAATGCCCACTAGTGGGTGGTAGGGACCAGGTTGACTACCACTGGCATAGACTGTATAAGTCTATGTATAAGCCTTTGCACGGGATCTTTGATGACAATGTGGTGCCAGGCTGCAATAATGGATTCAATCAGCTCCTGCTGATCTGCTTTTCAGATGCTTCTTGCTTATTTCATAACCAATCTTGGCCCACAAGTTCTCAATTGGGTTCAAATCCAGGCTCTGAACTGGCCAATCCAGGAGTCAAACACCATGCTTCTTCATCCACTGCTGGACGGCCTTGGCTCGATGAGAAGGAGCGTTGTCATCCTGGAAGTAAAAGTTCTTCCCTACAAGTTGCTGAGCTGAAGGGAGCATGGTCTTTTCCAGGACTTCAACATACTGTTTGGAATTCATGATTCCTTGCACGATTTGGATCTGACTTATACCAGAAGCAACAATACAGCCCCAGATCATCATATGCAATGGATACTTCACAGATAAGATTCAGGCAGTATGGCCTAAATTCTTCAGCTGGAAATCTTTTGACATACTTATTGCACTGATTCCCAGTCAAGTAGAAATTGCTCTCATCACTGAAGATGACCTTGGCCCACTGTTCGTTGGTCCACTTGGCATACTTCTTGGCCCATGCACGTCAACGAGAGTGGTGAGCATCGGTGAGCAAAGGTTTACTTCAAGCCCTTTGAGCCCTCTGGCAAGCAGTCTGTGACGCACTGTGCTTATGCGCACTTTTACATCACATGTTTCACCCCAAATTCTTGTAATCTGAGATGAGGTAAGCTTCCTGTCAGCCATTGAAATGCATTGCAGAGCCCGATCTTGCCGTTTTGTCGACTTTTTTGGTCTTCCAGAGTGGATCCTGTCATCAACTGAACCAGTTATTTGGTATTTTTCAACCACTCTGCTCACTGTGGCATGATGGCATTTCACTGTCTTGGCTATTTCTGTATAGGAGTAAT